GCCTGACCCCCCCCCTTGGACCCCCAGCCCCAGGGTGGCTGGCCGGAACTGAGCCTGGGGCCAGCCCACCAAGGTGCCACCGCCTAAGGCTGACCTGGTCCCTACGTGGCCACCCTCCCCTCCCCCACCGCGAGTCCGGGTGCTCTGGGCTAGAGGACTGGGTGGAGCAGCTGGAGAGCTGGCCCCACAAGATGACAGGCAGGCCAGCCGGAGGGAGCATGGGGACTGTAGGGCCATGGCAGAAGAGCCAGCGGAGATTTGGCTCAACCCTGCACCCCCCTTCCCCACAAGGGGGCTCAAAGACCCGTGGGACGGCGTGTGCCCAGGGCGTGTCCCCCACCTGGGGGCTACCCCCCCAGCTCCCCCTCCCATGGGACTGAAGACTGGGAGGAAAGCAGCCAGGCAGCGGGCACGGCTGGGCACAGGCCCTCAGCCTGCTGCAGGGAGATCCGGGGCGGGACCTGCACCCGCAGCCTGGCAGGCCTGGCGTGGTCGAACCCCATTGCAGCCGGAGGGCTGAGATCTGGGGCGGGACCTGCACCCGCAGCCTGGCAGGCCTGGCGTGGTCGAACCCCATTGCAGCCGGAGGGCTGAGATCCGGGGCGGGACCTGCACCCGCAGCCTGGCAGGCCTGGCGTGGTCGAACCCCATTGCAGCCGGAGGGCTGAGATCCGGGGCGGGACCTGCACCCGCAGCCTGGCAGGCCTGGCGTGGTCGAACCCCATTGCAGCCGGAGGGCTGAGATCCGGGGCGGGACCTGCACCCGCAGCCTGGCAGGCCTGGCGTGGTCGAACCCCATTGCAGCCGGAGGGCTGAGATCCGGGGCGGGACCTGCACCCGCAGCCTGGCAGGCCTGGCGTGGTCGAACCCCATTGCAGCCGGAGGGCTGAGATCCGGGGCGGGACCTGCACCCGCAGCCTGGCAGGCCTGGCGTGGTCGAACCCCATTGCAGCCGGAGGGCTGAGATCCGGGGCGGGACCTGCACCCGCAGCCTGGCAGGCCTGGCGTGGTCGAACCCCATTGCAGCCGGAGGGCTGAGATCCGGGGCGGGACCTGCACCCGCAGCCTGGCAGGCCTGGCGTGGTCGAACCCCATTGCAGCCGGAGGGCTGAGATCCGGGGCGGGACCTGCACCCGCAGCCTGGCAGGCCTGGCGTGGTCGAACCCCATTGCAGCCGGAGGGCTGAGATCCGGGGCGGGACCTGCACCCGCAGCCTGGCAGGCCTGGCGTGGTCGAACCCCATTGCAGCCGGAGGGCTGAGATCCGGGGCGGGACCTGCACCCGCAGCCTGGCAGGCCTGGCGTGGTCGAACCCCATTGCAGCCGGAGGGCTGAGATCCGGGGCGGGACCTGCACCCGCAGCCTGGCAGGCCTGGCGTGGTCGAACCCCATTGCAGCCGGAGGGCTGAGATCCGGGGCGGGACCTGCACCCGCAGCCTGGCAGGCCTGGCGTGGTCGAACCCCATTGCAGCCGGAGGGCTGAGATCCGGGGCGGGACCTGCACCCGCAGCCTGGCAGGCCTGGCGTGGTCGAACCCCATTGCAGCCGGAGGGCTGAGATCCGGGGCGGGACCTGCACCCGCAGCCTGGCAGGCCTGGCGTGGTCGAACCCCATTGCAGCCGGAGGGCTGAGATCCGGGGCGGGACCTGCACCCGCAGCCTGGCAGGCCTGGCGTGGTCGAACCCCATTGCAGCCGGAGGGCTGAGATCCGGGGCGGGACCTGCACCCGCAGCCTGGCAGGCCTGGCGTGGTCGAACCCCATTGCAGCCGGAGGGCTGAGATCCGGGGCGGGACCTGCACCCGCAGCCTGGCAGGCCTGGCGTGGTCGAACCCCATTGCAGCCGGAGGGCTGAGATCCGGGGCGGGACCTGCACCCGCAGCCTGGCAGGCCTGGCGTGGTCGAACCCCATTGCAGCCGGAGGGCTGAGATCCGGGGCGGGACCTGCACCCGCAGCCTGGCAGGCCTGGCGTGGTCGAACCCCATTGCAGCCGGAGGGCTGAGATCCGGGGCGGGACCTGCACCCGCAGCCTGGCAGGCCTGGCGTGGTCGAACCCCATTGCAGCCGGAGGGCTGAGATCCGGGGCGGGACCTGCACCCGCAGCCTGGCAGGCCTGGCGTGGTCGAACCCCATTGCAGCCGGAGGGCTGAGATCCGGGGCGGGACCTGCACCCGCAGCCTGGCAGGCCTGGCGTGGTCGAACCCCATTGCAGCCGGAGGGCTGAGATCCGGGGCGGGACCTGCACCCGCAGCCTGGCAGGCCTGGCGTGGTCGAACCCCATTGCAGCCGGAGGGCTGAGATCCGGGGCGGGACCTGCACCCGCAGCCTGGCAGGCCTGGCGTGGTCGAACCCCATTGCAGCCGGAGGGCTGAGATCCGGGGCGGGACCTGCACCCGCAGCCTGGCAGGCCTGGCGTGGTCGAACCCCATTGCAGCCGGAGGGCTGAGATCCGGGGCGGGACCTGCACCCGCAGCCTGGCAGGCCTGGCGTGGTCGAACCCCATTGCAGCCGGAGGGCTGAGATCCGGGGCGGGACCTGCACCCGCAGCCTGGCAGGCCTGGCGTGGTCGAACCCCATTGCAGCCGGAGGGCTGAGATCCGGGGCGGGACCTGCACCCGCAGCCTGGCAGGCCTGGCGTGGTCGAACCCCATTGCCGCAGCCCCCAGCGGGCCAGGCCGGGGGGGCCACCCCCCCAGCCCCCGCCCCCCACTGGGCTGCCGCAGCCCCCAGCGGGCCAGGCCGGGGGGGCCACCCCCCCAGCCCCGGCTCCATTCCTGGGGGCTGGCTCCAGCGTTAACGAGGCAGAATCACTGCTAACGAGGGCCCCGCTCGGAGGTAGGCCAAGGACTGGAGCGCGGAGGCCAGGCACAGCCAAGGACACGGGACTGAGCCTCAAATCAGCGGGGTTGGGGAAAGGGTCCTCAGGGTCAGAGCTCACCCCCAGCTACCCTCTGTGCAGCCCCCCCAGCCCTGCCAGCCCCCCACAAGT